TTTAACTTAAACTAGTACTATGCTTGGTAGATGCCTCTATAAATAAGCCTCTCTTGAGATAAAGCCAGCCAGGTAGAGATATCTGGGCCACAACACACACTAAGAAACATCTACACTTGCACACACATACTGTTTACACACTTATTTTTTTCCATGTTTGAGGATCTTTTGATGGAGAGAGGATATCCAAGTTAGTCTATTGATTAATAAGTACAGGTTTTGGTTCTGTTCACTACAACATCAGTGTAATTCTTAATGCATGCAAAGAAAGAAGTGTACTGTCAGTTCGGTTTGGCTAGTCTTAGTGGTATTTCATATTTTTCTCTATTGTTTACAACAACACAAACAGTCCAGACTGGTTGACATGAGCAGGTATTTACCAGAGGAAGTGTTGGGTGTAAGGGCTACACAGGCCGCTGGTTCTATCAGATGACCCAGCTATGGTTGTCTATAAATATCAGAGAAGAGATGCCCTTTCAGTCAATAGAAGGAGAAGGTTTGAGGTTTGTAATCCATTTACAAGAGAGAAGTGCTTAAGAAGTAGTTACATCTGCTGTGTGGTTTTTCTCTTGTGCAATATGTTAGACAGAAACTGTTGTATACCAGGAAACTCACACTATAATGCGAAAAGCCTCTGTGTTACATGTTATTATTACACTGCATCCCAGTATAGTGATTTGGCAAATAAGGTTAGATGTTCATTTGTGTGTTTAGATTTTGAGATATGTACTATTAACGAGTCCATTCTGAAGAAAGATATGAAATTAAGCCCCATGGCTTTTGGTCTAGGCTGTAGAATTTAGGTTTTCCAGATCTTAGAGAAGTTTAATTGAGGATCACAGAAAGTGGTCACTATTGGTATATAGTGGTATATATATATATATATATATATCTTGATTCAGTGGCATATGTCCATGCCTAGTGCTAGGCTTCTTATGATTGTTGGTATCTTGCTGCTGTTTATGTTCTATGCATTTAAAAAACGTCACTTTTTCCATTGACAGACACCACTTGGTATGCTGCTGCTGTTTGTCACATGAAAATGACATGCCACTCATGTTCTACTTACAAGTGACACTTTCTACCAGCAGGTGCAGTGTAAAACTCATATCTTATACCATATTACACTGGAAGATTTAGAAGATTTAGTGGTACTATGAGCTCTGTAGCACAGCCTGTAGAACTCTGACATACTTTAAAAAACCAAGCCATAGTTTTACTTGTATTGATAACTGTAGAGTAGTTACAATAAGTAACTATTGTGTTAAATGTGCAAAATGCTACTCATCTAACAATTAATGCTCGCTAGATTACGCCTTTCTTTTAATCTGTCAGCGGGACAACGTGTTGTAGGCATAACTTTAATACAGTAGTGGCTTTCGTCTGTTTATAAGTGACACAGCGACAGAATATCGGAGTGAGCAGTGGAATATGCCAGCAAACATCAGCTGAAGGAGAGTGGAATCTGCCAGAACAATAAAGAACCAGCATATTCGAGTATAACAAGTGCTGCTTTTTATGTCGGTGTATGTTCAGTTTTTGCTTGAGGTCAAGGTCAAGGATCTTACGGTGAGATTTCTTACTTGGTTCCCTCCTCTCCTACACCTTCAGCCTCCAGTTTTCCCTCCTCCTCCATCTTCTCCTCCGAAATCAGTTCCTGTTTCCGGTGTCGACGAAGACATTTCACTACAACCATGGAAAGGATCAAAAGAGCTAATGCTCCACCCACCGATGCCCCAATGGCGACTGCGATGGTTGAATCCCTCGGAGGGGGAACTGAGGAGAGGAGATAAATAGTTTGCAGACAAAGGATGGAGACAAGTGCAATGCTGGCTAAAAGCTCTACTGGGCTGATTAAACAGAGTGGAAAGCAAGAAAGTGCTGCTGAGTTAGCCTGTGTCCTATGTGTGGGTGTGCGTGTACGTATGTGTGCGCGTGAGAGAGATGCTGAGGGACTAAGTTCAACCTCTTGTTGGTCATTAATAAGTAAAACGCTGACTCATCACCAGTAGGCCGTCACGCTCCAGGAAACAGACTGGCACATGCAGTCATAGCATGTTATATATGACCATTGTATGGCATTTATCCTTAGAGCACAGTGGCTGAGGCAGACTGCAAAACACGAGCAATTCACACCACTTTTCACAACACATAAGCATGCCACATTTAGAAGAAACGTCATTATTGTAATACGATCAGATTCTGGATTCTTGTTACACTATTTCAAACATATATTTCTGTCAAAATATGGCAATAAAGGTCGTCCATTTGTACCTTGTATCTGCCTGTGTGATTGTCTGAAACAGTGCAAACAGAGAACTGCTCAAACTTCAGATGGGGTGTTTTTAGCCCTATTTTGGTGCCACTATGAAAATTATTCATGAGCCACAACTGCAACCAGCTTGCAAAGTAGCTGGTTCTTCCCCTCCCTTGACAGAAGAAAATGGCTGCTCAATCTAAGGCAAGTGGGATACATGCCCGATGTAAACCAATAACGGAAAGGACTGGATGATGAATGTCGGTGTTCAAAAAAAAATTACACTGATGGATGGTGTTTGAGATAAATAAGATTAGTGAAGAAGTCAAGAGTGCTATTTTGACACAGAATGTTTTTTATAGCAGCACTCTCCCTTAACAATATACTGGTTTGGCACTGAGTAGCACTTGTCAGTTTGAGAACAGGGGGGTGAATTTAAAGGTTTAAAGGATGCTAAAGTGAACTAAAAGAAAATCAGGGAGTGTATCTCTAAGGCAAGGGTAAGGATTTAAAGACACATTTTTAATTCTCAGAAGGTAGGGTTAGTATCTTACGTTCGGTAACAACATTGAACTGTATGACACCATGTCCCTGGATGCGGTCAGGGGGGTTTCTCACATAGCAGTTGTAAACCCCCTCATCCTCCAGCTGAACATCCGATAGGGTAATTGACAGGTCGTTCTTAACCAGGTTCCCGGCAAACTTGACCCTGTCTCCAAAGCGGTTTGAACTCAGAGCCACCATTCCTTTTTTCCTAGAGTACGTCATAAACTATAGAGAGAGAGGGGGAGAGGGAGATAAAGAGAGTTCATAATGGGCTTAGAGTTTTAAAATGTAGACAGCCTATGGAGACTAGCTATTTTTACCATCTCTTCTGTGTCGTTGAGTGACTCTTGGTAGGTCCAGTTCATGGCAAACTTTGTCTCATCCATCCTATAGCAGGAAGTAAATATGCAGGTGATTTTGACAGTTGTTCCGTTCAGTGCATTGAGGTTACCGGGCACGGTCACATCCATGCTTGAACAACCTGTAAATAAAAACAACACCAGTGTTAATAATGCTAGTACCAACAACAATACAGTATCGGAGCTGTAAGGTTTGAAATTTGACTCAATTTATATTTGGCGGGATTTCGAACAAAATGTGGAAATAATTATTGATAAATGTTTTTGATCAGTAGTTTGTGTTAAATATACAAATAATATTAAAATATAAGCCTTTAAGACATCTAAAAGGAATCTAACTCCAAATAATGAAAATAATTCACTGTACAAATCTGGTATAGGAGGATATGTAATTTTTCATTTGCTATTTATTTTTTTATTTTTTTTGGTAATATGTACAGCATATGCTAGTACAACTGGCATAAGTAATTCAACTGAGACCCCATGTCTTAAAGTCAGTGGTCCTCAGTGTTAAAATTAGGGTTGAGAGTTTTTGAGTCAAAAGACATCTGATTCCAGACTCTATAAGTCATGTACAGCATCAAGCCTACACAGCTGATTGGTTGTACACTACAGTACCTCATTTATCATCATCTACAGGTTTGTGATTACAAACATAAATCGTATAAACTGTGTACAATCTCACACCTTTAAGAAGCTTACATCCTGTAAGCCAATATTTTAATGCTCTGTGTTCAACCAAACATACTGCAAAAAAGATGCTAAAAATATCAGCATGTCAGCAGTTTCATCTTCCCAGTATGTATAGTGAGGATGTGGGTTTCCATGTAACTGCTGACTCTTCTTCTGCACTCTATTTAGAGAATGCTGTCTTTCAGGCTGACAGTCATTTGATGCGAATTCCTCAACTCACAGAACAGATTTAAATGTAGGCAAGACCCGCAACCTGACTGTAGATCAAGCAATATGCCTGCTATATACTTCATAGATGGTTTTGCAGTGACTCTGTGTAGAGAATAAAAAACTATGCAACTGTCTTTGCTGCGAGTTTATGCATTATTTCATCTCCTGCTGCTGGAAAAAATGACATCCACAGGGATTTGTAGGCCAGGGCATCTCTGCAGCACTACAGGATTATACTTCATTACAATGCTATCATCACACATTTTACCTTTATCAAAAAATTACAACTTCTGCGATTAGGACTTGACCATATTGCAGTTTTAATTTTGATTAATTGTCCAGCCCCATTCTAAAATGAAAGCCAGAAAAACATGTAACTGCATATAAATGTAACCTGAAATGAAAATAAAGTATCATTTAGTTTCCTCAAGTTCCTCCTCCCCTCTAACATTATGTGTCAGCATGGGCTTACACTCCCCAGACAGAATCTGTGCCTCTCTCTCAGTATGTGTGTGTGTGTGTGTGTGTGTGTGTGAGAGAGAGATGGGACTCTGCACCATTCTCTCCTCTGCAGTCGGGTGTTTCTGGCTCCCTTCCCACTGCTGCTGCACCACTCCACAGGCCTGCCTCTCTGCACCACACACTCTCTCTTACACACACACCCATACACTTTCTACATCTCCTTTCATCGCCCATATGTATAATTTACACACGTACACAATTTTCCATGCACAGAGTTCACCACAGCCAGGTGTCTTGTGATGCTGCGCAGTACCTGTGCTTCTCGCTTTTTCTCTCCATACAAACACACACATACACATACTACTACAAGGTGTGCATTGTCAGCAGTGAGCTTAGCATGCTAGCTGTGGTGTGTCAATGTCATCCTCTTGCTAGCTGACCTATCTGTGCACGCAGCTAGTACCAACACATTCAGGCAGACACCGTCACTCACGCACACACGTACTGTAAGCACGGTACACACATTATGTTCCTTTGCCACGACAACCCATACACAGATATGCAGTGTGAGAAACAGATTGTTACAGCCTCCTGCTGACTCAGCAGTCCTGCGGCTAGTGAGAAAGAGAGGCAGATGCAGAGGATGGAGAGAGACAGACGCTCGCTAACAGATGAAATACTGCAGTGAAGCAGCCTCATGCGACTCCTCCCTCTCTCTGCCCCTCCCTCTTTCCTCTCCCATCTTTGTCCACCTCTCTTGCCTCCTCTCACGCCTCTTTCCTAGCGCCTCTTCGGTCCGACCCCACAATGAGTCCTTCTGTTTCTCCCCATAGTCTTACTTTCCAGTGCATGTCTCTCTCTTACTCCCTTCTACTTCATCTACTCCTCCATTGTTCCCCACCTCTCACAAGGTCAATGCAGGAAAAAAAGGTGAAAGGTAGGTAGGTCTGTTACATCATCTTTCCTGTGCCCTCCACAATTCTGTAGTCCAAGTCTACAGTACGTGACCACCTTTTGTACCTACGCACATAATCCTATTTACAGTAGAGGTATATATTGTAAGTTAGTTTACATTTAATAAAGGGGAATGTGGTAAACGTTGCCTGTGTTATTGATTGGTAAAGAAGGCAAGACCATCAGATACTGCCATTTGTTATCTTTGTGGTCATTTCAGCAGGGAGGGTGGTTCCTGAAACTACAATCCTTGGATCATCCAGGAGGGTTTCAAATGTAACAATAAATGATTTTTTATTAAATTAGTAATCATTACAGTAGCCTGGACTAGCCCCGCTTCCAGATCTCAATCCAATTAGGCATCTGTGGGATGGCATGGGCAAAGCTTTTCAGAGAAGGAATCCAATGAAGACCAACTTGACAAATCCACAGACAACATCCTTTGAAGGTCTCTTCTACAAGTGATTTAAAGCTGCTTTAAGGGCACAAAGGGCTGCAGCTTGGTATTAAGAGCATGTTACCATAAAAATTTAGACTTTGGGCTCTATTTTCATGACGATCATTTACTAGGACTGAGTTGTACAATCTCTTAAAAGTATCACCATTTGCTTGTTTTGGCATTAAAGATGGTTCTGACTGGATTTAGGGAACAAGAGGTGCTGGTCCTGAGTGCTTCGATGGACTAAATGCTGGTCTGGAGTGTGTCGACACTTCAGGGTTATCAAATGGTGACCCTCCTGCTTGTTTTTTAAGGAGCCAACTATCACTAGAGGGCTAAGCAACACTGTGTGGCGTCCTTCAGATTGTTGCCCAGGTTGGGTCTTTTTGTCTTCAGCTAAAGCAAGTGGCTGCTGCTTTTCGGCAGCTTCAGTGAGGACCCTGAGCCTTTGTTGGGGTCTAGCTTCTTATCCCCACCTCCTTAGAGCTGGAGTTCACTGCCGAGACTCTACAAAGCACTTAAACGGGGGAGCACTTATAAAATTCCCCAGGGCAGCATTAGCTTAATGATGATGGCATGTCACAGAGTTCGACCAGATCATCAGATCTGATCCCAGATTGGTTGCTCGTGAAAAAATGACTGAATTCCAAGTTTCCTTCAGTGAGACAGACATTCTTTGTTATTCGCTTAGCATTGGAATCTGAACATTTGATTGTGTGAGACAAGGGCTACAATTGACAAGTTATAATTGACTATGTGTTACTTTCATGACTATCTGCATACAGAAGTAGGTGGTGTACCAGTACAGAGCAGTTTTAGGGAAGTTTTAGTGTTACCATTGTTTATGTCTCCCAACACCAGAGGGACATTGGTGTAAAGGTAAATCCTGTGTTAATTTTGAAGCTTCACATGCAATTCTACTTAACAAAACCCGAAAAGCCTACAAAGTGTAGATGATACATTGACCCCAGCATGCTGCCTTTAAATTGTTATGAGTGTCATAATGTTTAGCTGTGATTCAGTTGTGTTCTGTACTGCTGGGCTTTGGTTCTAGTGCCCCCTGCTTTGGAGAAAGCCACACTGCATTCTGCACACTGCAGCACTCTATGCTGAGGTGCCAAACGGGGGGGCTAGTCAGCAGTCAGTACAGCTCACACCAAAAATATGCCATCCGTCAGTAATTCCTGGAGGAGTTGCAGGAATCCTGTGGGCTGCAGAAGCTTTTCTCTGATTATGTCATGCCTAGACTGGCATAGCAAGCTCAGAAACCTATACAGTACTGTGTGAGCCTGCAGCTGCACCTCTGTGTGATATGTTATTGTAATATTGGAGACAAAGAAACACAAAAGCACAGACAGGGATGCATTAAATTCTTCTATGATCACCAGTAAAAACCACACATACAACATGGACAATATTGACAGGACTGAGTGAGTGTTGAAAGCTACTTTCCATTCCTTGTCCTCCTCTCCCCTCCACTCTTTCACTGTTTATGTATTATTGACAGTTGCCTACTTATAGTAGAGCCACAAAGTCTGGCTGCTTTAAGATACA